GGCCTTGGCCCCGGCTGAATTAATTACTCTAATTAGCGTCTTAATTGCATATATTAAACCAGTGGTTAGCGGGACTGGAGCTGTGGTTAGGGCCTGGATCTCCATCAGGCGGACAAAAGGGTCACACACACACACACACACACACACACACACACACACACACACACACACACACACACACACACACACACACACACACACACACACACACACACACACACACACACACACACACACACACACACACACACACACACACACACACACGTTACATTTAAAATTCCCTGTAAGAGCACAGGAATGCAGAGCTAGATGATGATGATTCTGTTGGAGAGCTTATTGGTTGATGAAGTAACTTTTTCTAGTTGTCAGGAATCGCACTGCCTGTCACTCACATTGAGCTGGTCTCTCGTGGCGGCGTTGGGCTTCAGGTCGTGATCCGATGGCCCGCTGCGGAGGCTTCGAGCCAGCTTGTGATGCTTGCTCTCAACCAGGTTCTCCTGTAAAAAACATGAATTGTAAAATACTGCATATATAGGTTTATACACTATAGATGAACCATGCTAAATATTGTATTATATGTACATTAATGGGCAATGCTAAACGAATAAGTATCTACTTTTTCTGCACATTACACAAAGCCACCATATATTATTTGTTGTATATTGTGCGGTTATGTGTGTGTGTGTGTGTCCTCTCACCATCGCCATCTGAGGGTCAGGAACTTTGACGATGTCGCAGCTGGTGAGAACAGGTGATGCGTCGTCTCCATCCTGAGAGGGGACGGAGTGAAAGACACCATCAGTGTCGTCACTTCCTGTGTGTTTTAGACATGCTTTATGTTGAATTTCACCTAGAAATAATACCTTCTCGTAATAAACAATGCTGTACTCCTTGTCATTTGTTTTGACGCGGGGGAACTCCACCATGAGGTACATGAAGTTAGAGCTGCGTTTCTCACTCTGCGGAGAAACACATGGAGAAAAAAAGAAAGAATTAGTAGGATACAACATTGACATATTATCCCCCAAGTTGAGGGACAGATGGCTAAATAATGAGTTGACACCGACTGTAAGACTTGATATCGTCCAACTTTTTCAAATAATAAATGATAGCCACTTAAAATAGCTCGGAAAACCCTGCCTTACAAATACTGAAATAGTTTGAATCTGTACTTTCCGGGTCATAATGATTATTTCTGACATTACGCAGATCGGTTCATGATTGCATGTATGACTCTGATTGTGTTTATAACATAGAACAAACCTAAGAATCTACAATCGTCTGTGCAAATTAGCACTAATGATCAAAGTTAGCATGCTAATTAGTAACAAGTCAGAAGTCATGAGGTTTCGTCCTCTGGAGAATAATGCATTTCTTTCAAAATCGTCATGGCATTCAATTAAATAGTGGTTAAGATTATTTAGTAAGCAACGTAGCTTTTTTCTACTCCAGAGGCCTGAACTACGAAGCTGGTTCAACCTAACCTGGATATGTTTGAGTTAGCCGGTTGGCCTAATCCAAAACATACGCGCTCTCGCTAAGCGGTACTACGACGCGGGTTATCAAGTGGATCGCTCAAGCCAGCCGTGCCCTATCTAGTTAGGTGCGCGTTCACATGAAAGGGGTGGTATTTGGAGCATTCGACCAATCACAAACATGGAGAAGCGTACTGACAGCGCAGCGTCAT